CCCCAAAACCCCAAAACCCCAAAACCCCAAAACCCCTTGTTTGCATTATTTATTTGAAAATTTAAAATAACCCGCAATGGATAAATACAATTACCACCAAAGTGAAGAGCAGAGTGAGAATCCATTCACAGAGGATACTAATGATGAAGGAGATGTCCATCTGGAAGCCTGAAAACCCCTCTATTCAGACATTGGTAAGCCTAAGTCAATTTCTTCCTAATCTTTTAATAGAACATGAGCTTGAAAATGCAGATTTGGGCCAACCCTTATCTTTGATATACTTTGATGATAAGGAAGGGTATAAAATCACAGAAGAAGGGACTGAGTTATTACAGAACTTAAACGAAAACATAGGTGTCATTGCTGTGGCAGGGAAGTACAGAACTGGGAAGAGTTATCTCCTTAACAAGATTATTCTACAAAATAACAGCAATTCTGGCGGCTTTGGAGTTGGTCCGACTATAAACCCATGTACAAAAGGTCTCTGGGTATGGAGTAAGCCTATTATTACCAAATATAAACAAAAGGATCTCAAAGTCCTTGTAATTGATAGTGAAGGGATTGGTGCATTGAATGAAGATGCTAACCATGACACTAGGATCTTCCTGCTGGCTTTGTTAATATCCTCATACTTCATTTTCAATTCTATGGGAACTATTGACGAAAGTGCCTTACAGAATATTTCTCTGATAATAAACCTATCAAAGGAGATCCAAGTGAAAGAAAGAGAGCTGAATACAAATACTGAAGAGATCCCAAAATATTTCCCATCCTTTCTTTGGGTGGTCAGAGACTTTACCCTTAGACTAGTTGATTCTCACGGAAGTGAGATAACTTCTTCTGAGTATCTTGAGAAAGCACTAGAGTTACAAAAAGGTACATCAGATTCAACGGAGAATAAGAATAAGATTAGAAGAATGATCAAACACTTCTTTCCTAAGAGAGACTGTGTCACTCTTGTCCGTCCAGTTGAAGGAGAGAAAATGCTTCAGAATTTGAACCAAATGCCAGAAGATGAGCTCCGCCCTCTCTTTGTAAAACAGCTGAAGTCAGTTCAGGATAAAATTAGAAAGAAAGTTGAGCCTAAAATGCTTAATGGGAAGATACTGAATGGACCAATGCTTTTGGAATTATGCAAATCATACCTAAATGCTATCAATAAAGGAAATGTGCCATGCATCGAGAATGCATGGAATTATGTGCTAAAATACGAAGCTGAAAAATTAATGAACTCTTTAGTTAAAGAGTACACCCAATGAATAGATTCCTTGCTCCCTGAAGATACTGAAGAGTCTTTGTTATCTCTGCTTTCAGAGATCCACAGTGAGATTACCCCAAGCATCATCGAAAAGTTTCAAAGCAATGTGATTGAGGAGGATTCTAGAGAACTTCAACTACAACTCTGTGAGAAAATCGACTTCGCATATAGCAAATTTTACAAAACTTGAGAAATCAAGGAGCAAACCAAGAGCAGAACTTTCCTTGCTAAACATAGAGAAAGCATTGAAAGAAAACTAAGAAAGTTCCAGATAAAGTCAATGCCGGCATTTAACAAAGAACTCTCAACTCTTAAAGAACAATTTGAACTCAAATTTCCTAATTTCTCATCTGAAAACAGTGCCAAAATCTGGCATTCAGGTACAGAAAAACTGATTCTGAAAGCTGGTGACTACATTTCCAAAGCAATTTCGGAAAAAGCCAAGGAAGAGTCTGGGCTACTAAGGGCTAAACTTCAAAACCTCCAGACCTTGTACGAGAAGACCTCTTTAGATCTTGAACAGGAGAGGGCTCAAAAGACTAAAGAAATGAGGGAAATAGAGAAATAGAAACTCTACTCTGAAATCTACTATAAAAGTTATCGAAGAAAAGATGCAAATGACTGAGTCTCATAAGTCCAAAGAGGTCGAAAAACTCAAATCAGAGATGGCTGAAGCTGAGGTAGGGCATTTGGTTACTTTTAGCAACAACTCCAACACAAATATCAACAACTTCAACTTGATAATGAACAACTACAGCAAGAAAATGAGAAGCTTAAGATGAATAATGAGAAATTAAGAGATGAAAAGTACCGTCTACAAGGTAAGAATCTTACTTTATTGTTTAGAGAAAACACAAAAGTTTAACTCACAGCTACAAGAGACTAGGGAGAAAAATTATCAGGAAATACAAGACCTTAATGACCGATATGAGCAAAAATTGAAGAATCTGAACTCTATTGGTGACCAGAAACAGAAAATACACAAGGAAAGTATCACCCCAGAGTTTACTAAGTTCTTTGAAAAGCAGGCTGAAGAGAATAGTAGTTTGAAAAAGTGAATCCAAGATCTATTAAACCAGAAAAATGCTGAATCTATTAGCGCGGATGAAGCTGAAATTCAAGAGCTACGTCAAAAGGTAGAAGCATTGACTGAAAGATCATCAAAATTTGAGAAGAAATACAAAGAAGCGAAGGTTTACTACAGGTTATTTAGACACTGCTCCTTGATCCAATGCAAGTATTGTAACAAGTATTACAAGCAGGCTGCATTTATGACCCATTCTCAGAGTTGTTCTTTGAGCCAAATAATCCCAAAACAGAAGGAGACTCTGTCTAATATTGAAATATGAATCACCCAAACTCTGATTAGAGAGGATGAGAACATCAAGAAGCCTTTCACTATGTATGTAATTGAAACTACACTTGGTGAGGAAAATTGGATGATCCAGCGTAAATATAAAGAATTTTGATCTCTTAATGAAAAGTTAGTAAGGTTCTTCCCTACAGTCGAGCTTCCAGAGTCAGCCTCACAGTTTTTCAACAAGTGTCTTGAGGACTTACTGAAGAAGAAGAGAACAATGGTTGTAGAACAGAGAAGAAAGAATCTCGAGAAATATCTTAATGATCTTGCCAAGATAGCAGTCATTAGAGATTCTACATACTTTACCGAATTCATAGGCTACCAGTACGCTTCATCTAACAATTATAGAAATGAAGAAGGACATACTCACGTTCTCAAAGAGATTGGTACAAAGAGTGTGAACTTAGAAAGTACCAGAATGGATCAAATTGCAGCAAGGTATACCTCATAAATCTATCTCAGATTTCTGTGATTAAAATTTCAATAAATCCCAAAATATGCGGGGTTTTGGGGTTTTGGGGTTTTGGGGTTTTGGGGTTTTGGGG